CTCAGAGCTCTTACAGTACATGTTGATGACTTTGAAATCCATGTGTTGTACATAGTAATGTATTATATTGACATGTAGTTTGGGAATAACATGCTCCAAAGAAATGGAATATAGTTATTTATATAATTAACAATTACATATGTTTCAAAGCTTTCACTTTTCCCGAAGTGAGAACTTCTGGCCTGTAGCTTTTTCCAATTTCAGTACTATGTCCTGAATCATTTAGTGCAAAGATAGTCCATGGATGTCGCTGGCGTTCAACACATTTGTATTTGAGATGGCAGTATTCAGACATGGATAGAAATTAGTATCTAACTTTTCCTTCTCTTTAAACTGATTATCAAAGAATGCATTTGTCTGATTTTTAATAAAAGAATAAGCAGTGTTTTCAATTTGTTAAATATTCAATGATCAAGGCTAGATTTCTATTTAAAAAGCCCTACTCCAGTTATAGTAACTGCCTGCCAGGAAGCATGTTTTAATATTTGTTCATCACACTGTAAAAGGCAATCAGAAGAACAAGCCAATCGAGAAAAATGTGTTTCCCTAAATTATTCTTCTAATTACTAATTTACAAAGATTTTGCTTATTAAAGAATGAAATTTAAAAAAAATGTTTTCAGCTATTTAGAACAAAACAAACAAGGAATGTATCTCCATGTATTGGGGATGAACTGTTAATTTGATAAAAGCTCTAATGGAGATATTTTCAAAACAGACCACCCTCCACTCCAATTTACCATGCAAGTGCTTGATCCTTTTACTTTTGGATCCAATGAGATCAGCTTAGGCCCTTACTGTCTTCTATTGTGCCTGTTTTCCATAAGGACCTATGTTTTTATTGACAGAAGGAATTAAGAGCTAATTAGAGATGACATCAAGAGAGTGTAGAGGGGTTGGGCAAACCAAAAGAGCAAGATGGAGGAAAAGATATTAAATAAAGTAGTGGAGAAAGTAAAAACAAACATGGGCAGACTATGTGAAGCTGGGAAAGCAATACTCTTAGTTATGCTCCATAGAAGGCACTTCAGGCTTTTTTTTACTTATTTATGTTTTTGGTAATGCCTGAGGGGCAGCCAAGAGTGAGGCCATTATGCTAGCATGGTACAAACACAGCGTAGTTGTCATAAATATAAAGGGAAGGGTAAACCCCTTTAAAATCCCTCCTGGCCAGAGGAAAACTCCTCTCACCTGTAAAGGGTTAAGAAGCTAAAGGTAACCTCGCTGGCACCTGACCAAAATGACCAATGAGGAGACAAGATACTTTCAAAAGCTGGGAGGAGGGAGAAAAACAAAGGCTCTGTGTCTGTCTGTATGCTTTTTTTTGCTGGGGACAGAACAGGAACGGAGTCTTAGAACTTTTAGTAAGTAATCTAGCTAGGTATGTGTTAGATTATGATTTCTTTAAATGGCTGAGAAAAGAGCTGTGCTGAATAGAATGACTATTCCTATTCCTGTGTGTCTTTTTTGTAACTTAAGGTTTCGCCTAGAGGGATTCTCTATGTTTCGAATCTAATTACCCTGTAAGGTATCTACCATCCTGATTTTACAGGGGTGATTCCTTTACTTCTATTAAAAGTCTTCTTGTAAGAAAACTGAATGCTTTTTCATTGTTCTAAGATCCAAGGGTTTGGGTCTGTGGTCACCTATGCAAATTGGTGAGGATTTTTACTAAACCTTCCCCAGGAAGTGGGGTGCAAGGGTTGGGAGGATTTTGGGGGGGAAGACGTGTCCAAACTACATTTCCCAGTAAACCCAGATAAAGTTTGGTGGTGGCAGTGGAAATCCAAGGGCAAAGGGTAAAATTAATTTGTACCTTGGGGAAGTTTTAACCTAAGCTGGTAAAAGTAAGCCTAGGAGGTTTTCATGCAGGTCCCCACATCTGTACCCTAGAGTTCAGAGTGGGGAAGGAACCTTGACAGTAGTAGATTGTCCCTGCCCTGAAGAGCTTACAATCGAAATAGGCAAAACATAAACAGTAAGTAATGGTGTAGAACACTCAGGCAGAGTGAACAATGATGGCGGTGAAAAGCGTGTTCGTTCCACGATTATTTTTGGGGGCAGTAGGGGTGAGTATATTTAGGAGGGAATAAGCTAAATGGGGAAAAAAAGGGAAGAAAACATGAGGCGATCAATACCTCCTGGGTGATATTTGAAAGTAAGGATAAATTGGTGTCCATGGATTTAAGTAGTCCTCATATTCATCTTGGGTTAAACATATAAATTTTTCTTTGATTCCTTGACCTTTACATTCCAGATGTTAAGCCATTTGTATTAGGAGAGGGAACTGAGTTCTTAGCTACCATAATTAAATAGCTGGTGCATAGTCTATAATAAACTAATCTATAAATAATAGCAAATCAATAGCATCTTTGGCCACCTTCCCATTAGATATATCTCTGGTGAAAGGGATGGCAATAAGCTCATTATTTTTGTGATTGTGGGCACAGTCCTGTAAAATATTGATGCCTTCAGCTCTGATTCATCCAAACTCTCAAGTCCTTTCTCCTGGCAGGACTCCCATTGCCTGCAATGGGAAATGAGGGCACTCTGTACCTTGCAGGACTGGAACAATAATTTCCAGCCTTATTCCCAAAACTCTTACTGAAAAGATTCCCCACCCCCCAACGTGAAAGGGGCTGTGTTTCCATCATATGGTGTATTACTAGGGTCACTTTCATAAGGGCTATCATTTTGCATTTCTTTTATATTCTGAAAGCTGTTAATTTATTTTTAATTAGATGTGTTTCCATAAAAATATTTTCTATGTAAATATGGTTGTAGCACACACTGTGCCCTATGAGTCTAACAGGAATAAATATTGTACTGGGAGAACATTCTGCATACTTTTAGTATCTGAACACATAAAACATCAATCTCCTCCCATTTATGTATATGTACAGTTTTTACATTGGCTTTATCACTTATGGTTCTCATGAAGCATTATCAACAATCTGGCAAATCCTTTGGTGGCACTCTTATTAGAAATGGAAGGAATATGTTTGAGTAGGTTTTTCAGACATGCAACACAGTAAGTTCTTATGCCCAATATATGTCATACATGGGTTGCCACTTCAGGGGAAATCATTTCAGAACTGGTGTCTGTTTTTGCCATCACTGAGACATGAGAGGAAAAAGTGATCTCATGGTTAAGGCCCTTGATTGGTTCTCAGGAAAGTTGGGTTAAGTTTCTAGCTCTGCCACAGACTTTCTGTGTAAACTTAGGCCTAGTTACTTAATATCTCTGTGCCTCAGTTCTCCATCTGTAAAACTGAGCTGACATAATTAGACAAGACAAATAAAGGGAGGGAAAAAGGAAGTAAGACATTCAGGGTAGGGACTGTCTTTTGCCAAGGGCTTGTCTACATGAGGAAATTTACCAACATAACTATACTGGTATAATTCTACTGCTACAGCAACATAGGATAAACTGGAAAAAGGCTCTCTTATTCTGGAATAAGTACGTCCATGTGGGACGTTATATCAGTATAACTGTAATGATAGAATTATACTGGTAATTTCCCCCATGTAGACAAGAGGTTTGTACAGTGCCCAGCACAATGGGGCTTTGATATCAGTTGGAGCCTTTAAGTGCTACTTGTAACAATAATAGCTTACATTTTTAGCGCACTTCAGAGATGAAAATGAAGATATCAGCCGTTACAGAATATTCCCAGGAGTGGAGAAGTAAGACATATGTTTGTTTAAAAAGTGGGAAGCTCCAACTCTGAGTGTTTTTACCTATGATTGGTTTTTCCCCAGCAGTCCTGTGACCTTACCCCCCCCTCCTGCCCACTTCCTTATGCTATGAACTTTTGGTTCCATGTAAATATGTAGTTTCTTTCATATAGATTTTTGGTTTTGCTTAATTGTCTTTAAAACACAGAACAAAATACACAAGTGCAGATAGAACTGGATAGACAACTATCATTCAGCTAATCAGAATTTCACCTGCTCACGTGGCGTACAACTTAGACTTGTCATCAAAGCATTTGGTTGAGGAGTGCATATTATAATGCTGGCTGTGACATGAAGAGTTTCCTGCATAGCAACCAAAAGCATTGCCAACGAGCCACGGGTGTCCAGCACCTGAGGAAGAGACAATGTGATAATTGTAGACACCACTCTCAGATTCCACTCTTTTGAAGTTCTACTTTTGCATCTATTATTCTATCTGTAACCCCCTTTGGAGTTTGTCAGCTCCTGGAACACTGGACTGAGTCTTGACAGGACCTTGCCTATGGAGTGCAATAGTGGCTCCATAGTTTTGTAGACCATTTACCAGCCTGCTTAGAGTCTGTAGCAGGAACAGAATAGATGGTAAACCCCTGTAAAAGCCAGTAGTGGGGCTTGTGATGGGGTGATTTGTACAGACAGTTTGCTGGGCCAATGAGGAGCCAGGATTGCTCAATCCTTTGGTGTGAGGGGATAGCCTGACTCACAGACAAAGGGACTCAGTTTAGTTTAACTTTTTGGAACTTTTATTTTGAAGTCAGGAGTTGTGAGAAATGCCGTCAGTGAGGCAGGGGATCAACCCCCTGTTGGCTATAGACCCAGCTGAGACCTCCCGAGAACTCTGGACCAGGGAGCCAGGCAACCTGCCCCACTCAGGTGAAAATACTGTGAGAGGGCCTCTTTTGTTATCTTCAAGCTGGCTAATGTTTGCAGTGCTCTACACTCCTCTTCAGACTCATTCTACACATTTCCTCTGCTTGGGAAGGTGCCAGGGAGAGAGCTGGCATTTATGATACAGTTGTGAATGGTGGAAAGTGGGGAATTTATTGTATTATGAATATATTAGTTGACCATAACCCTTTACTTCCCTGGATCCACTGTTCCCTGCCTCCCATAAAGTCCCCATTTGTTATACTGTTGTTTTGAGGTGTGGCACATTATTTGTTGGGCTTTGTATTATTGTATTTTTTGTGTACAGGGTCCTATTCCTTGTTAAGGGTAGCATTATTAGCCATTTCTCAAGTGACAGAAACCTTTGTGTCCCAGGCACAGAGAGGAATCCCCTTGAGTGGAGGCACAAGGCATCTCAATAAAGAACCCAGGACCCAGCTCATGGAAGGAAAGGGGAGAAGCCACTCTGATTAGCAAGCACCAGGGAGGGACAACATAACTATCTACTATAGTAAGTATATCTGCTTAGATACTTATTACAGTGGCAGATATTGATAAATATATTAATCTATTCTCTATAGCTATATATTCTTTATTTTACATAGCATCTTTCATCCAAGCTCCTCAAGGTGTGTCAAGGTTCCTTCCCCACTCTGAACTCTAGGGTACAGATGTGGGGACCTGCATGAAAGACCCCTAAGCTTATTCTTACCAGCTTAGGTTAAAAGCTGCCACCACCAAAGTTTCAGAGTAACAGCCGTGTTAGTCTGTATTCGCAAAAAGAAAAGGAGTACTTGTGGCACCTTAGAGACTAACCAATTTATTTGAGCATGAGCTTTCGTGAGCTACAGCTCACTTCATCGGATGCATACCGTGGAAACTGCAGCAGACTTTATATATACACAGAGAATATGAAATAATACCTCCTCCCACCCCACTGTCCTGCTGGTAATAGCTTATCTAAAGTGATCATCAGGTGGGCCATTTCCAGCACAAATCCAGGTTTTCTCACCCTCCACCCCCCCACACAAATTCACTCTCCTGCTGGAAAGCTGCTGGAAAGCAGGAGAGTGAATTTGTGTGGGGGGGTGGAGGGTGAGAAAACCTGGATTTGTGCTGGAAATGGCCCACCTGATGATCACTTTAGATAAGCTATTACCAGCAGGACAGTGGGGTGGGAGGAGATATTATTTCATATTCTCTGTGTATATATAAAGTCTGCTGCAGTTTCCACGGTATGCATCCGATGAAGTGAGCTGTAGCTCACGAAAGCTCATGCTCAAATAAATTGGTTAGTCTCTAAGGTGCCACAAGTACTCCTTTTCTTTTCACCACCAAAGTGTTACACAAAGAACAGGGAAAATGCCCACTTGGAAACGTCTGCCCCCCTCCCCCCAAATATCCCCCCAAGCACTACTTCCCCTTTCCTGGGGAAGGCTTGATAAAAATCCTCACCAGTTTGCATCGGTGAACACAGACCCAAACCCTTGGATCTTAAGTACAATGAAAAAGCAATCAGGTTCTTAAAAGAAGAATTTTAATTAAAGAAAAAGTAAAAGAATCACCTCTGTAAAATCAGGATGGTAAATACCTTACAGGGTAATCAGATTTAAAACCTAAAGAATCCCTCTAGGCTAAACCTTAAGTTACAAAAAGATACAAAAACAGGAATACACATTCCATTCAGCACAACTTATTTTATCAGCCATTTAAACAAAACAGAATCTAACGCATATCTAACTAGATTGCTTACTAACTCTTTACAGGAGTTCTGACCTGCATTCCTGCTCTGGTCCTGGCAAAAGCATCATACACACAGACAGAACCCTTTGTTTCCCACCCCTCTTTCAGCTTTGAAAGTATCTTGTCTCCTCATTGGTCATTTTGGTCAGGTGTCAGCAAGTTTATCTTAGCTTCTTAATCCTTTACAGGTGAAAGGGTTTTTTCTCTGGCCAGGAGGGATTTAAAGGTGGTGAGCCTTCTCTTTATATTTATGACAAGGTGTCTTAAGCCTGAGACTACTTCTTATTTAGGTATTAATATACCTATTTAGCAAATTGGTAAATGGAGGCAGAGAGATGCTAAAGGACCAGCTATCAGACAGCATTCCTTCTCTTAATAGGCAACTACAATATATCAATAGGAGTTAGGCACCTAACCTGCTTAGGTGCTTTGAATATCTTGTGAGGCCCTATCTGCATCTTAGGCACCTACATACCTAAATCTGTTAGTCTTTAAGGTGCCTCCGTACTCCTCGTTGTTTTTATGAGCTCTCTGGAGTTCACAAAATTCCTCGTATTGGGAAACTAAAAAATAGTAAGGCATTCACAGAAATAAAGCAAGATCTGAGCTCTCTTTTGGCCTAAGGAGCTCAAGACAGATATGGAAGACGACTCCCTTTATGGAGAAGATAGCAAAGACGTGTCCTTTAAATGAGATATATGGGTGTTGTGAGTCAGTAGCCACTAAACGAGAAAACAATCAATTCTTCTATCCTTTGTAAGAAATTTTTAAATAGTTGACTAAGGTTGGTCTAGTTTGGGGTGAAATCCTGGGCTTATTGAAGTCATGGGTAAAATTCCCTTTGACTTCAATGAGGCCAGAATTTTACCTCATGTCTAATATATGCCAATGATGCTTGAAAGCAGTAAGCAATTTCAGTACTACCCTGAAGGAGACTGTTTTGAATGAGATCTAGTGCAAAAAGATGAAGTGTGACTGGTAGATATAGAATGATTTGAAGCTATGTGGATGGCATGTGAAGCTAAAGAGATGGAGGGTAATGAGATGAAGGTGAAGTTTTCTTTATAAGTTCTGACTGATCTCTCTGACCCCTCAGTTAAGGTGGCCATTTAAAGTGTCAGGTTTATATTCCTAGAATATAAAATGTCACTATATCATTACTCATTTGAGCAACAGACTGGCAATCTGTGCAACTTGACAGCATGTACATTTGCCTGGAGCAGCCTTAACTTAGGCAAAGCCATTTTTGTCCATTTTCCTACATTTGTTACTAAATATAGGTTCCCACATCTAGTGCACTGAAGCAGTCACATCCCTTTTTCTGCTGATGCTGCTTTTTTTCACAGCACATATCCCTTGGGTACCTAATGGAGAAGTACCTACTTCTGTGTAGGGGGATGAAAAGTTTTAATGAATTTCAATGGCATATGTTTTATTTGTAAAAGTGCCTTGCACAGTTTCCTGATTACTGTACCCATACATCATATGCAAATAATATATTCAGTTCTAATGAATTTGACACTTAATTTCTAATGTCATTCTGGAAAGCTAAATGAAGCTCTCATCTGGTTTATTATCTTTTACTTTTACATCAGTGCAAATGTAGCCTGGAATAGAATCGGTTTTGTTTTTCTTTTATTCTTTATTCTTACAGCAATGTTTTCATCAGATGCCAAGTAATCAAATATAGACAATTCCATTACCAGAGTTTATCACCACAACTTTTAATTCAAGGTCAAAAAGCATCATGGAATCTTTGCTAAGGCTTTCTATTGATTTTCAGGAATGTTAATTTTGAGAAGAAATGGTTCATATCCTTTGTATATTCATATTGCATACTTTGGATTTTAAAACAATGATTTCAGGGAGCTTTATCTCAAAGTATTTTATAAAGCAATGTTTAGTATTCATGTTGGAAGGACTGGATACAGGCAAACACTTATGCTCAGTATGCACTAAGCAGAATCCACTTCACACATTTCAGTGTGAAATGTAGCATCAGCAGGCCATGCTACTGTAGGTGTATTGTAAAGAACACAAAGGGGAGTATTAACCAGATTTCTGGGCTCCCTGCAGCTCCAGTTTAGGAAAGCAGTTAAGTCTGTGCTTAAGAGTGCTAAATTTGACAGTCTCAGGGCAGCTCTACACTACAGCCTAAATCAATATAACTTACATCGCTCAGAGCAATGCAAGTTTTGTGCTGTCCACACCGGCATTATATTGGCAGGAGAGTGCTCTCATGTTGGCACAGAGTGTCTTCACCATTATTTCTGACTGTGATTACAAAACGTGGGTTCTGTTCCCTTACTGGATGAGTGTAACTGACATAATGAGGTGAAGGATGCGGTAGAAGTAGAGAATTATATCCTACTATGGAATGGTTCAGATAATCAGTACCAAAGTTAATTGTGTGGCTGTTTAGAAAGACTCCTATAGAATCCTCTTGAATGAATTCCGGTTAAATAATACTTTTCCAAAAGCAGTCTAGTAGTGGTGTGTCAGGCAAATTCTGATTCAAGTGGCCTAGAAAGGAAAAGGTTTAAAGTATCCTAAATATTTACTAATTCTGCCATCCTAACTTGTCCTAACTCTGCATCATGCTCCTGCTGTGTTACTGAAACTCAAAAGCCCTAATTTTTGTAAACCCATTTTAAAAACTATTTGAGAAGTTCTGATGATTACCGTCCTCAAAGAATACTACTTACCGCAAATGTAGCAGTCTCTATAGATGTCAGTTTTGGCCTCAACACTCGGTGGAAGGTCAAATCTCATCACAAGATGATAAGCTTCTGATCTAAAGAGTGAATGCACCAGCTACTGAGCTGGCAATGGGTTATTTTTATCATCCAGTACCTAAATCTATATTTACTTTCAACACTGAGCTGTGTGTCCTGATGCCTGCATTTGCATGCTATAACATTCCTGTTCACTTCTGAGAGTTGTTCTGCTTCATTTTAGAAGAATTTCTCAATAGATCAGGGCAATTATTTTTATAGAATATTTTACTGTGTACATAACCCACAACATGGGCTAAAGATTATTGCACACAGTAGCACTGGAACATTTTTCTTAATGAATGAAACATTTAGCTGGGCTTCCTTTACCCAACAAACTGCTATGCATACAACAATTAGTTTATGCAAATTAATAGAATGTAAAATTAACCTAGGTAAAATATGGGAATTAAACAGTAATTATACTTCTCGTTTCTAGTCAAATAATAGAGCAAAGTCTTTTTTAATCCAAAATATAGAAAGATTTCTTTTGTTTTCTTATCATATATAATTGTTAAAACCACTGGCCTTCAGGAATGTCCAGCTTTCCTGGTAATCAATTACCTGGATCAAATATCTAAAATATTTGGAGTACTTTTCCTTAAAGTTAGACTCAGCTTCAGTGTGTTTCTTCCGACATTGTAGCTAAAGATTGAGCTCAATGGAAGAGGCTGTAGCTAATACTCTTTTTCTGATGACTAAGCACACATCTTGCTTTAGCTCATGTATAATTAACCATAAGGTTTTGAGAAAATAGCCTGTATGATGCAATACATTTTGGACTGATAAAGGGCAGGGTCCACCCCTGTGATACATGGTCAAGGAAAGCTTTGTGTATCTTGTAAAATACCAACTCCTATTTTGTTCTGAGCACGCATTGGTCAGAGGGCAGGGAGAAAAATTCCTCAACCTCCAAACCCTAGAATTTTGAATGACAGATGCTGGTGCGTCCCCAGTCAATTCTTTCCTTGGAAAGGTATTATCAAGGGTGAAT